CCTCCACCCCCAGCCTGAAGATCCAGATCCTTTCTCCTACTCCTGCAAGCTCATGTTCTTCTCAAGACCCACCTCAAACAAAACCAGGTCTGTAGAACCTGTCGTGGAAATTCTGGCCATTCGTCGCCGCGCACAGCGCTCTGTGCTGGGACACCTCTGCCCCAGAACTGGCTCATGCCTGTGCATCTGCACGTGTGCTTCCCCTGCCGCCGCAAGCCTGGGGGATGTCGAATCCACTCTGCCCCTACCTGTTCCTCCGGGCCCTCCACTCTGGGCTGTACCCCGATTTATCGGTAGCCGCACTGCCTCCTCTCCGCCCCTCATGTGAGCCTAGAGCCCCGGGCAGAGCCGAGCCAGCTTCGTGGCGCCGGCTCAGGGCTCACCGGGCCCGACCGGGGACTGCCCGGGGTCAGGGAGCGACGCTCCAGACCCGGGCGGGCCTGACATAGCGGCCCCCCCCCCGCCCGGGAGCCGCCCGAACAAGAGCCAAGCTCCAAGCCCCAACCAGCCCCATGCCCAGCTCCCCACTTTCTGCGTGGGCCAGGTCTCTGCATGCGAGAGGCGGAGGCTGCAGCACTCTTGCCATTCCGGCTTCTCTAGGACGGTGGAGGGCTCCGCGTCTCCATGGTACTCCCTTCTCGCCACGCAAAGTCGGGAGGGGAGAGTGGTCCAGCTCTCCCAGAGACACAGAGCGCTCGGGGCCCTGCAGAAGTCAAGGAGGACGGTATGGGGGTGGGGGGAGGCTGGGGAGGAGGCTTCCTCTGGGAATCCTTTCCCGGCCCTTTTCTTCCCACTGACCTCTCTTCTCCACCTCATTGCACCTTTGTAGGATGGATGCTGGTATAAGCATCCATAGCATTCACTTGACTATGCCTGTTCACATATCTGCCTCCTTTTACTAAGTTCTACATTCCAGAGAGCAGACTATGTCCTTGATATGTTCATCTTTGCGCCTCTAACATCCGCCCAACGTCTAGCACCTCTTAGGGCCCAATTTCTTTAAGTGGCATAGAATGTTTGTTGAATAAAAGCATGATTAAATGTTGAACCAGTTTTTCAGCTGAAGAAAGTAAGGCCCAAAGAGAGGAAACGACTTACCTAACATGACACAGCATGTCCGGAAGCTATGCTTTTAAAGAAAGTTGTGGAAATAAAGGAAGACCTCCCAACTGAGAACAAGCACCGGCTATTTATTCAGAGCTTATTATAGCAAGGAAGTCAGCCACCATACTTGCATTTGGCAGAGAAGTGGGAAAGCTCTGTAGCAGGAAAAAAGGAAGGCTTCAGGTATGCTCTGATTAAAGATTGTAGGCATGAGGGTTTACTAGAAGCAAAGCATCTTATGTGATTGGTTGGGAAGCATTATTCAAATTCTGGCTGTTTGAGGCTGATTACTACAGGGGTTATTTTGGCTTCCTGGACTGATTGCTACAGATAGTAGTTTGAACTCTTGGACTGGTTATTGCAGATAGTGGGTTGGTTTCCTGGACGGGTTGCTGCAGACTGTGGGTCAGAGTTCTATTTTTCTGTATGGTTTGGCCATTGTTCATTTGTATATTCAGTCTCTTGGGTGAACAAGGAAGGAAGATGATGTCTGCTTCACAGGAATTCAAGTCTACAGGTTCAGATGCGTTATAGCTACCCAGGTACTGAGAGCTTACAGATACCATACCTATGAAAAGTCACAGAGCAAAGGAGACCTCAGATGAACTCCCAGGCTTGTTGGCTGGTTGGTTGGTTTCTAACAGGATACTGGAATAACTCATAAAGGGACACTAGCTGATAGTCTGTGAGTGCTGAGAAGGAAGCAGAGACCCAACTTGGGAAAGATCACAAGGAAGGTTGAGCATACAAAAAAATGTTCCCATGATTTTCTTTGGGACCAGATGGAGAAAACTGAACTGATGACAAAACAATTATGGGAGTTTTAGCTCAGAACAAGGAGCCCTCAGATAACTGATGACTAAGTCATCGTCCACCTGAAAAAAGGTCTCTTATGACTATGATCAGCGTTTGGTTCAAAATTTTTTAGAAAACGAAAGAGGAGAGGAATACTCTATCATAATTAACCATATATTTTTACTCTCTATTGTTCTTCTGTCAAACACACAGCAGCAGGCAAGGCCAAGGCCAAGGCTAACTCCTAACTGATTTGACCAGTAAAGATACAATATGCCATTTTTAGATTCATATAACGTATTACTTACATCAACAGCAAAAGGAAGAGTAGCCAGATATCCCAGTTCCCCAAGTCCTTGTCCCACACACCAAAAACAATGACACGGAAACGAAAGGGGGCTGGATGACTGCAATGTGGGTTGTGGGATACACCTTGCTGAGGAGACAATTTTAGACTGCAGCTAAACAGTGTTACAGTCTGCAGTTATAACCTGAGGAGAGTGGGGCAGAAAGCCTCATACCTCATCAGAATCTGGGAGGCAATGACAAATTGTCTCATGGCAGCCTCCCACGGGGATAGGGACAGAAGTGGGAGATGGCCTCAGAATCTGGTAAAGTTCCTCTCATCCTCTCATGTTCTGGAATGATCACAAGATCATCTGCCAAGAGTCAAATTAGCTATAGTTCAAGCCTTTGCCTGCACGGCCTATATAGATATGCGTGAAATTGCCAGGGCACCATGGTAGACACATTCCCCTACAACTTTACCTCCTAACTTCTAACACAGGAAGAATTCTCGGGAGCATAAATCACCACATAGGTCATCAGATACTCTAATTAATTGTACAGATAGAGGATTGGGCCAAATGTATTCCATTTGTCTTAGGTAGCATTGGACAAGAGTGACCATGATTACGACTCACAGTAGTATAACCAGGCTCACTGGAGGAAAGACCATGTCAGGCTCCACATCCAGAGCCAAGCCAACTAAATGTGTCATTAATCCAGGTGAGACAAGAAAAACTAGCAAATGGCACATATCCCAGCTAAACTGGCTAGCAAAAAATCCAGGGCAATACAATTGTCCATTACCATTCATGCTAGAGAATTTAGAAAAATCACTGATCTGTGAAAAATGTACAAGAGAGTCCAACATAACAGTATGAGGCTAAAGGGAATCACATCAATGTCCATAAAGTTAATACTGTTCTTTTTTTTTTTTTTTTTTTTTTTTTTTTTTTTTTTTTTTTTGCAGTACACGGGCCTCTCACTGTTGTGGCCTCTCCCGTTGCAGAGCACAGGCTCCGACGTGCAGGCTCAGCGGCCATGGCTCACAGGCTTAGCCGCTGCACGGCATGTGGGATCTTCCCGGACCGGGGCACAAACCCGTGCCCCCTGCATCGGCAGGCGGACTCTCAGCCACTGCACCACCAGGGAAGCCCTCTATTGTTTCTTGATGAGGCTGTTCCTTTCTGGAGTCAATGGCTGTTGGGAGGATTCTGAGAGTTTTTAAACTAAGATCATTTGCTGGCCAGTAGTCAAACTGAGGGTAGTGGCAAAAGCCTGGGTTAAATTTGCCAGATATCCCACAGACAAAACCTAAGATAGATTAACGATCCCTCCCTCTGCCCCTGACTTCAGAGTCTAAGGTGTTTTCTTCTTCCCAAGCAGGGCTGTTCCCCTCCTTCCACAGCCACGTGATCATTACGACCAGACTCTGCAACAATTACTTCACTTTTTCCTCAATCCTCCCCATGTCTTCCCACACTATACGCATCAGCTCGTCC